ATTACTTTTTGATAAATAATTCGTTCTTATTGCGAAATAGGAGCACTATTTATCAATCTGTAATAAAAGACGTGAGGAAATTTTGTCTTTTTTAATGACAAAAATTTTTGAGGCGAAATACCCAAAAAGAAGTTTGTAAAAAAATGAATGCGCCTCAACAATATAGAACTGATATTGCCATTAAGCGCGCTTTAATTACCGAAAAGTTCGCATTGTTGATTTAGAGCGCAACAATGCCGTGCCGAATTTCATTACGCTCAGATGGAAAAAAGCGGAGCTACAGAGCACCCCCCACACTAACTCATAACTCGAATGTTGTAAATAAATTTGTTTCGATAACAATTAGCCCTGCCGCTTGTTTATCCAGACGGTGTTCGCTCTACAGGGTCGCATTTAGAACGCATAAACTCATTGGCTGGGGCAATTTAATAAAAGCAAACAATGTGCTTTTTGTTTTCGGGACAAACCGCACTAAATAATCCGGCAGTAACTTCGAAACAGTTATTATATCTCGGTAATCTCCCACTATGGCCACGGTCAAACGTACCTAATACCTATTTATTTCCAGACCCAACTCCGTCGAAATATCGCGGCAATGTTCCGAACGTGTTCGGCCAGCTTTACTGCTTAATTAAGAGATCTGAACAAAGGGCAGGATGTTTCCAAAGCCGCTCTTAATAAACGACTTATGATGGGCCGCATGTAGGTGGGACTCTATGGTTTATTAAATCAGACCGCAGGAACGGGTGCCCACTTTCGGCAACCAGCTCGCATAATTTACGTTCGCAGAACGAAAACGGAATTTTCTGGAACATAATGCGATCAGGTAGCTGGTTTAAACAAGTTCCGGCCCGACCGCAAAACATCGCTTAGACGTGGGACCACCGATCGGATCAGGATACATTATGGTGGCCTGTTTGCGGCCATATTGGACCTAACCTAACCCTCCGGTGATAAGGGTGAATAAAATCGATTTGAATTAATTCAGTCCTCTGTATATCTTGCATGCGGGCTTATGGGGAGATTTGCTACTGACTGCGCCCATTTTTCGTGTTGTGTGTGCACTGCATTCAGGCAGATGCAAGGGAGATAAGAGCAAAACTCTGAAAATTTACAACATCAACAGAACCAATGGATGGAAAACTTTGCCAACTTATGCAACGCTTACCATTCTGTTCAAATTATCGATGATAAAGACACCACGAGCCCTTGGTATGAAAAGCAAGTTTCGTATTCCGTCGGAGCCTTGAATGTGGATCTAACTACGATTTTACGCAACAAATCCAGCTGGAAAGACTGAAAGTTTCATAAAAATCGAACAAAAGTCCCAGAGCGTTTAATTTAGCGTGAAGCAGTCTATTCCGCTCCTGTTCACGTTCATATTTGGCCGGAAAACATGTTTTGTTCAGGGCGACCATCCAAACTAGTTTGAACCCGAAACTTTCTGCCACTTTCTGCGCAACAGTCAGCAACGAAAAAACGGAAATCGAACTGCAAATGTCTCATACAAAAATAAGATCAAGCAAACAATTATATTATCACGATAATTCTGTACTTCGCTGCCTTCGGAACGTCGTAAAACGAAAAAGTGACTAAATGTTCAGTTTGGTACGGGAAGTGAAGAAAATACGGCATTTACAGGATGATTTGGTGCCAATAAGTGCGCTAGATTATCCTTTATCTGCTAAATGAAAGATTAAAGTTTTTATTTCGGAGTGGATCTTTACTGTTTGTTCACGCATAGTGTGATTTTTTGAGGATTATTGGGTAGAACATGGAGGATGGGACGCCAGCTTGCAAAAAGCTGGTAAACATGATTTCTAAATCTATCAAACCTTTAGCTTGAACTGAGTCTAGTTTTTCGAGAAGCTATTGAAGTTAGTTGCATATTTTTCTCTATTTCATCTGTTCATTTCAAATAATTAAACTTTTAACTAAATTTTGATAATACTAATGAATATTTTGCTTGCCTTTTGCTTTTGGTTGCCATATAAGTCTTGAGTTTTTAGTCCCATATTTTTGACTGATATTTTATCATACTGCTGCATATCAGATTTATTCGACAAGGAACGACTAAGACGGTCTGGATTCTGGATTGAGCTTTAAAATTTTTCGAATTTTTTTCTAAAATTAATTTAAACGAACTCGAAGTCTTTATAAGTGCCAACTTTTTCAACTAAAATAAATATATGAAAGATATTTTTTTGGAAGGTTGCACACTCTCCGTTCGACTCGTTTTATTCCCTTGCTGTTGCCGCTATCGAATCTGAGGCAGGACTAGTTTTATGAGCGAGTTTTTTGGGCTTTTCGGGGGTTTTGGAACGTTCGAAATATCTTGACACTTAACAAAGTTACAGGCAAAAGAGTGGAGGTATATATAGGGCGCAAACTATATACGAAAACCATGTTAAAGAACATAGGAATTTTGATACAAATTCGACTCTTAAGTGAAAAACTTGCACATATGCGATTCTAAAAAAATTCAAAATTTCCAAAATTTTTAACAAATTTCAAATTGTTTTTTTTATTG